TAATTTAACAGTTGGACATCGGACATTATCAGACTAAAATTGGTAATTTTCCGATCAAATATCAAGATGTTTTTTAGTCTTTGTTTTAGAGGAAGAATAATTATAAATAAAACCAAAGAAAAGATGTCGGAAGGCCCTTTTTTAATCCATGGTCAGAAAGATACTTAAATAAATTTTGCCTGGAAAACAGATACCACAAAACTGCTTAAATAAAGATGTGGCAAAAAAAACTGGCAAAATAAAGATGTGGACTTCTAGTGATTTGTAATTTGGTATTACTTCATCATTTATTTCGAAGAAATAAGAATCAGATGTTTAGGATGTTAATTTTTCTACATTTTTGACAGATCTGCTTCAGCTATAAAAACACATTTTGAATTTCGAAGAACAAAGCTGTGTATGCAGCATCGATGTTGAAATGTTTTATCCTGACTTAGTCATTCAGAACCTTAAGCCGCATATAAAAATGGTGATCTGGTTAGTCATAAATGCAACGGCATTGGGCGTGTGTGTATGATAAATGGTATAACGTAGCAAGATTAATACAAACCCACATCTTTATTTTGCTACCGTCTGTGATGCTTTGTTTTTATAACAGCTGTTAATTTGAGATTCCTGACATGCCAACACACCTAAAAATTTGAATCTATACATTTTCATCAAACAGTTTGAACAGAAACCTTTACATGCATATTTTCTAAAAATTGCAGTTTTAGCAGTTTTGTGGTATCAAATCTGTTTTACATGCAAAATTTATTTAAATATCTTTCTGACCTTGGATTAAAAAAGGGCCTACTGACATCTTTTCTTTGGTTTTATTTGGATTGCTTCTTCCTCTAAAATAAAGACTAAAAAATATCTTGTAATTTGATCGAACAATTACCGATCAAATAAACAAGATCAGGCATTGTCAGACTAAAATTACCAATTTTAGTCTGACAATGGACTGGCATGCTACCTATAGTATATATATACCATGCTTAATAAAGAAACTTATTAACGAACTAAAATAAAATAAAAATCAAAACGCAAAAATCTTTTAAGTATTTGTTATTAGATTACAAATAAATTTATGATTTTTAAACTAGTTTAAGACTTAAACTAATTTAAACTGGTAATAAACTGGTTTTTCTGGTGTATTGGCAGAGATGTTGAAAGCTTCAGGGATGTAGGTGTTTGGTGGGTGTCAGATCTTTGCAATGCAATTGTATATGAAGGTAAAATCCTAAATGATTGGAAAATTTAAAAATTACCTTAAAGTTCCAGAGAGATATACCAAATAATATATCGAAATAAAATATTGCAGAACTAAGAAAAAATATCTATAATGAAAAACAAGTTTGTAGGTTATAGCATTGTGGAGACCTCCTTACAACAAAAAACAATTTCACTAGGGTTCCAATCTTTATTTCATTTAGCATTCCTTAAACAACCACCAACATTTTCAACTTAGTTAACGAACTAAAATGGAATAACAACCAAAACGCAAAAATCAAATAAAAGCGCTTTTTTTTTTTCGGAACTTTAAAATCTACTTTGCATTATCGTATTTGGAATTTAAAAACTTGAAACAGACTAATCACAAGAATGATCTGAAATATGTATGTTAACTGTATGGCATATTAAGGCGTTTTGAGAAACAGCTGCAGCACATATTTATTATAAAAAAATAAATGTAGTAAAAAAAACTATTTATTGTCAACTACGGGCTTTTTTTTTTTTTTTTTTTGCAGCACTTTCTGGAGTAGCACAACTGTTTTAAAAAGTTTTTTTTTTTATTAGGTTTTATTTTAGACCATCCGCAGCGTATTAGGACTAATTACCTGAACACGTTATTAACATAAGTATCTCAATCATGACACAGGAATATTTTAATGTTAAAAGTTATTTAAGCAACCGTAAACAGTTTGTTTACAGTAATATAACTGTCTCTTCCAATTTATTAGATATAACATGTGAGGTCCCTCAATGTTCTATACTAGGACCTCTTCTCTTTTTAATTTACATTAATGATCTCCCTAAAGCTTCAAATTTAATGACGGTCATGTTTGCCGACGATACAAATCTTTTTTTAGCTCATAACAACATAACAACATTATTCCAAAATGTGAATATTGAATTAACAAAAGTTTCTGACTGGTTTAAAGTGAATAAGCTGTCACTAAATGTTGAAAATACTAAATGGATACTTTTTCATCAAACTTCAAAAAAAAAGCTACTACCTCCTGTGATGCCCTAACTTTTTATTGACAAAGTTCAAATAAAAAGAGAACAAACTACTAACTTTTTAGGAATAAATATTGATGAAAACCTTAGTTGGAAGTATCACATTGATTTATTGTGCAACAAAGTTGCTCGAAATATAGGAGTAATGTACAAGGCTAGAAATGCTTTAAATAAACACAGTTTAACACAATTATATTTCTCTTTAATCCATTGCCATATAAATTATGCAAATATTGCTTGGGGTAATACCAATAAATCTAAACTGCTACCTCTTTATCGTCAGCAGAAGCATGTTGCTCGGCTTATCAATTATAAAGATCGATTTGCTCATGCCAAACCATTATTATTTCAAATGAAAATTCTTAATATTTATCAGCTAAATATTTTTAATATACTTTGTTTTATGTTCAAGTGTAAAACCAACGAATCTCCAGTTTCTTTTCATAATCTATATACCTTAAAAAATAAAAATAAATATAACTTAAGAAATGATAATCAAATTCAGCAACCTTTATTTTTAACTAATTTTGGAAAGTCATGTATTTCATATCGAGGAGCTTTTCTATGGAACAAAATAGTTTTAAAAAATTTTGCTTTTTCCCATGAATGGAATTATCTTTCATTCAAGAAAAAACTAAAAGAAATTGTTTTGTCTTTTGAAGACATTTTTTTATATTTTTAAATTCTTTTAAAAATAAATATGAAGTTTATTACATAAGGCAATATATAAATATTATATCTGATCCATAACTTATGTGTTTGTGAAAACAGTACTTTGTAAAATATTTTTGTATTTATATATGAGTATCAACAATTTCTTTATTCCAATTTTATTTATATATTATTACGAAATTTACGTTCTCGCTAATTTTTAATACGACATTGTTTAGATTTTATACTTCATGTTAATTTAATGTACTTAATATTCACGAGCGGTTCTCGATGATAAGACCTGAAGGTCTTCTGCGAGTCTCCGCGTTCTTTCTTTTTTGTATATATTTTCTTTTATTGTATAACGATTTTTATCTCAACTATCTTATTGTATAACTATATTGAATATTCAAGAAAAGAACAAAAAAAAAAAAAAAAAAAAAAAAAAATCATGACACATACGCAAAAAATTTTTTCTCCCAGTGTTTTGATGTTTTTAAAAATATTATCTTTTTTAAAATTTTTTTGCTCATTTAAGTGTATAAACACTCTATAAAACTTCAAAAGTATTTTGTATTTTAAAATAGTCGAAAAAAATTTTTAAAAGTTTTCAATGGTAGGACTCGAACCATGGCTTACTTGTTCAGAAGCTAAGCGCGCTACCCACTCGGCCACGCTGGCATGTTGTTAAACGAAAATTTCTAAAACTATGTAATGACGTTTTTCACGGAAAAATATGCTGTACATCAAAGAGCTTGACGCAATGCAATTTTTAAGTGAAAATCAAACTGTAAAACTTGATAAATGTTTCAGTAAGTTTTAACATTACTTAATTTAAAGTTTACATACGTTAGACATTTGCATACAGGTTCTCTTAAAGTGCGGCAACTCTCACTCGCCACTACCTCAGTTGCAATGGCTGCCAAGGGTTCCGTGTCAAACACGCTCGAATGAGCACTACTATTAAAAGGATTAAGTTCAGCAATAATATATAGATTTTTAATCAAAATACAATTAAAGTTAGCTACAGTTGCGCCAAAAATATAGAAAGAATAATAAAAGGTCACAATATGGCTTTGTTAAACAAAAAATAAATCCTAAATGAAAAAATAACAGAAAATTGTAGTTGTAAACAAAAAAGCAATTGCCCAATGAGTGGAAATTGTTTATCAAAAAACGTGGTATATAAATGTGTTGTTTCTTCTAAGAATGTACCCGATAAACAATTTATTGGTTTAACAGAGGGAGAATGGAGAAAAACGTTTTGCCAATTATAAGCAATCATTTCAAAATAAAAAGTATTTAAAAGACACTAGCAGTCAAAATACGTAAGGGAATTAAAAGATAAAAATATTGATGAGTTTATACTGAATTGTTCTATCCTTAAAACAGCACCTGCATCTAATGATATTTCGAAAAAATGCATACTATGCCTAAAAGAAAAATTTGAAATAATTACATATGCAAATCAAGAATGTTTATTAAACAAAAAAAGAGAATTGATTTCTAAATACTGGCACGAAAGTAAGTTTCTCCTAAAAAAAACTTTAAAAATAAGTTTAAATAATAATTACATTAAATAAAATAATAATTACATTAAATCCACCCGTTTAAAAAACAACACACACACACACAAAAAAGAAAAATAACAGAAAAAATCAATTCTAAAGAATTCTTTTTATAATAGTAAATATTCCACAAAAGTGTGAACATTTACAGTAGTTAAGACATTTACGACTTCCTGAAAATTAGTTTTTTGGTATAAATTGAAGTTTTATTAATTTGATCATTTATTTTTGATGAGTCATTATTGATGAAACTTTTTGAAAATGAAAAAATTTTGTTAAGTGATTTTCTACTAATTTAATATTGCTTTGTTCTTTTAAGAAAATTGAGCACTCTATTTTATAGAATAAGTTTTAAAATTGTTTATATATACATACTTACATATATACATATATATATATATATATATACATATATATATATATATATATATATATATATATATATATATATATATATATATATATATATATATATATATATATATATATATATGCAACCTAAATTTTATAATCTTTAGACAAAGGGGTAATCATATATTTAAACAACTTGCAAAATTTAAAATGTTTTAATTTATTTCGCACTATTACTATACTTGTTTTTATTACAGAATTAAATGCTAAGTAGACATGGCGGTGTCTAATTTGCATTCAAGGCTTTAGACTTTGAAAACCGCGAAGTTCAGTTTAAGATTTCAAAGCTTCAGAAAATGTGTATCTTTCGTTCACATTTGAAAGTTCTTCAATTAAATTTTACTTGCACGGGCTTTCGAAATATCTCTTCCTCCAGTACATCATCATTAGATTCTGGCGGTAAGCTATTAAAAGAGGCTGCGTTATAATAAGTATTTTCTTCGTCAATATCGAAGCTAAAATAATGATCGCCTTCGGACAATATTTCTTCAAGGTGTTCACGCAGCTCAGTAAAGGTAGGTCTCTGTAATGGATCTTCATTCCAGCAGTGTAACATGATAGAGTACCTAAATATTAATAAAAAAGAAATATTAACTGAAGCAAACCACCAACAGTTACAATAAAAACAAAAACAAAAAACAAAAAAAAATCAAATACTAATTTAAAAAAAATAAATATTAATAGTAATAAGAATAAATCAATTACATGGGTTCCGAACAATTTTCTGGTCGTTCCATTCTATAACCAGACTTCAAAAGATTAAGAAGTTCACGATTACTTATAGTCGGAAAAGGCGTTCCTCCTGTAAAACAAAGTAAACGCAAAAGTATGAAAAAATTAAGTTTTAAGAAAAAAAAAAAATTTAATGCAATTTTCTTAATACATTAATACCTAATACATTACAACAATCTTTATTTATACTTACCTAACGTAACAATTTCAAATAATACAACGCCATACGCCCATCTAAAAATTTAATAACAACTCAACTAATTTTTAACCTTTCAATTTATATTTGGGTAGTATTTTAATTAATATAAAGCACATTATTTAGTTTAAACAAAAGAAAAAATTATTAAAGAACTTTACACATCGCTGAATGACGTGAACATTTGATCGAATATGGCTTCAACTGACATCCACTTGACCGGTAAACGACGATTCTTTGTGCTCATATAATTTAATTCATCATTGACTTTTCGTGTAAGACCAAAGTCAGATATTTTCACATTCTTTTCAGCACCAACTAAGATATTTCTTGCCGCTAGATCTCGATGTACCAATTTAATACAAGAAAGATATTCCTAAAAGAATATAAAAATTAGTAAAAAAAGTAAAAATTAAAAAAAAAAAAGATGTACACATTTTGCTATATATTCGGCCTATATATTCTGCTTTTTTGTATGACCTTGAGTTTTAAGCAAACTTTAGAAAATAAGCCTACAAATAATAATATAGTCAAATACAATAACTAAAAAAAAAATCTTATAAAACTCCTTCTAATAGAAATTAAGCAGGAATTCTAAAAAATGTAAAAGGATCAAAAATTCTGTGGTCCTCATAAAAACCTAATGCAAAAAACCAACAGTATAGCAAAGCTATGTAGAAAATATAGCATTTAGGAGTTCAACTACATTTAAATTATACTTAAGTAAAAAAAAATGTTGCAATTTACACTTAACAATATTGTTTTAGGTGTGAAATATACAATACATCAAAGCAAGCAGTATATATATATATATATATATATATATATATATATATATATATATATATATATATATATATATATATATATATATATATATATATATATATATTATATATATATATATATATTTTATATATATTCTTTGCGTCAAGATTTGTTGCAGAAGTTCAACAAATCTTGATTGCAGTATACTGCAATTAAAATTTGTTGAACTTTTGCATTTTTGTGATGAATTGAGATATTTGTAAATATGGGAGGCTTTATCTGAATTTAAATGTTCTGAAATCCTTGTTGTGTAGTTTCACCAATATATCCAGGATTACACCTGGAGCATTCAAATTTATAGACAACAAACGATTTTAAATTTGAGGGTAAGGAATCTTTTGATGAAAGCATGCTAATTATTTTTAAAGATGTAAAAAATAGTCTTGCTTTTATATTATCTTTACAATATTTTTGTTTACCTTTTACAACATCTAGATAAAAACTTTTCCAGTTGCTGTTGATTTTGAAGGCCTTGTCATTTAGAGTTTTAATGAGTCCTAGTTTATAAATAATATTAGTGAAGCTAATAAATATAGTCAGTGAACCTGTGTAAGTTTTATTTATAAAACGTTGATGTATTAAATTTATTATTTACATAGTCAATCATTATATATAGAAAGTTCAATTTGTGATCAACTTCGTCTTTTTTAGTAAATTTAAGGTTAGAATGTTGTTTATTTATATATTCTAGAAAAGTGAGTGCATCATTGTTATTTTCAAAGATACAAAAGATATAATCTACATACCTTTTATACCTTTTGTATAAAACTAATTTTTGCAATTATTGTTTTGTAACTAAATGTTTTTGTGGGAAGGTAAAAAATAAAAATATCAACAGTATTGCAATAATTGTTTGAAGTAAAAAAGTAACTCATAAATAAGTTAGCTAAGGCAGGAGCTAACAGAGATCCCATGGAAACTCCATCGATCTGATCATATATTTTTTTGTTAAATAGGAAATACGTTTGCATAGTTAAAAGTTCAAATAGTTTTTTTAATTTAAGTTTGGAAGTATTAAGGTTTGGTCTATTTTTTAAGATTAAATCCACAGTAATTGAGATTCTCATCTTGCAAACAAATATAACTCATCTTATAAGCCCTTATTTCACAGCTTTTGTTAGTTTAGATTAAATTTTTTGCAAACTATGTTTGTCTTCAACATGAGCAAAATAGTTGTTTCCTATAATTTTAATTGTTGAAACTTTAGATTTTGAGATAAATAAATTATATTTTTCACAATAAAAATCAAAGCAAAATTGGTAAAAAATCTAAGATTGATTTTTTACTGAAAAAAAAAAGTTTTCCTCTGACAATAAAACATTTTTTATTAAACAAAATTTTAATATAAACTTTATCTTATAAAAAATAAAAATTTTAATGTATGCTGTATATTAACTTAAAAAAAACCTTCATTCAAATTTAAATTCAAATGAATTTATGAAAAGATTTCACTTCTAATATCAGTCTTGTTAATTTAATTATGATAAAAAATTTAAATTCTATTCTGAGACAATTATTAGGGTAATTTGCAAGTGATATTGCAAATTACCCAAAAAATCTCTAATACATCTTTACCTGGTGCCATGTAATTATTAAAATTAACATGACTTTTTGAATTATTTATAGTCTACAACTTTATAAATAAAAAAGTTTGTTTGCATCTTTGCTTATATTAAATTCGTTAAAAAAAAATGAAACTAAATAAAAATAAATGGGTAAAGAATAAAAAAAATTGTTAGAAACTTTCTTTATTCTTTACCCACTTATTTTCTGTATTTTTTTTTTTAAAAAATTTCTGTATTGAAAAATCTTTACCTAGCATAGAATATTTAAAAAACTGTTTTGCAATAAACATACCATTCCTGATGCCACTTGCCATGCAAAACTAAGTAAATCCTCAGGTGTTATTACTTCTTCATCTAGTGATACATTATTGGGCATCAATCCTATGAAACTATCTGAAGTTGTTGTCTAGAATAAAACTTTTTATAAAAAGTTTTGAAAATTTAGTATAAGAATTGTTTTATAGTAAAAATTTATGCATTTAAAATAAAAAAGAGAAATAAGGAACCTCAAGAGATTGTTGATAGCCTGGTGTGTACATAAAGCTTATAGCTGGTTCTCCATCAATCTTTGAAGAACAAAGCTAAAAACCACATAAATTTATAACTTTGTTTTGATTCAAAACAAAAGGTTTAGATATAACAGAAAACAAAAACTAACATGCAATTAAAAAAAAATGCAAAACAAACTTGCAAATATATATTTTCAAATAAATATATATATTTTTTTATTGTTCTTAAAAATATATTGAAACTTGAAATGTTAATTTGTTTGCTTTCTTAAAACGTTTGAAGAAATTGTTATTTCACATGAGCATGGAATGACCAATAGGGTAAAAAAAATCTACAGTTTTTTTTAAAAATGGCTTTTAGGCTTCACATAAACAGTAACAATTAAATACCAGATGTCAAAATTGGTTGTCAAAATGACAATTTGCGATAGAACCTTGCTCTATAAGACAGTAAAAATTGTGCAAAATTCATAGATCATCCATATTTATAAAATCCGAAGTCATATTTTAAAAAAAGTCATATTTTAAAAATCCGGAAAACTGTTTGAATAAAATATCCAGAAAAAATCCGAAACTCATTTTCCCTTATTTTTTTTTAAATTTTGCTTTTAGCTAAGTTGTTTTTAATTTTTTTTTTTTGACACTTTTCATAATTTTTCTGAGTGATGAGTAAAAAATCTTACAAAACAAAAATATTAGAAAAATATATACCTCTACTTACATGTATTGAAAAGGTTTTGGATATTTTGAAAAACTAAAAGTTGAAAAAAATATCGGGAATTACCGAAATATCTGAAAAAAGATAATTCCTATATATTTATTGTGCTTTCAAAACAGTTCAGACATGATGCAAGCAAAAAAAAAAACTGAAAAAGAATTCCAAAAGAAAAATGATTTTAACAAAAAATATTTACTTTACTGCAATTTGTGCTAGATGTGAATGCACTTGTTAAAATTTATGCTAAATGTTTATTTACTTCTTCAATTTTGTGCTAGATGTGTATGTACTTGATAAAATTTGTGCTAGATGTGTAGGTACATGCAACAAAGAAGTTATTAGACTCAAGATGAAATTTCAGAAACTTGGTGTAAACTAAAAACGTGTTATATAAAGAATCAAAGACTCTGCTAATATTAGAAAAATCAAGGGGAAAATTCAGGGAAAGAGGGGGAAATTAATTAGAGAGTTCAGAGTGTTCTCCAGATTTTTTTCAAAAACTGGAATCAAATTTGATTAAAGATGCAAATTTATCACCAGGAAAAAGTTTTAGTTTCAAACTTATTAAATTTAGAGATTATTGAAAAGAGTTCTGAAGAAAACACTTTTGAAAGACAAAGAACACTTATGAAAGCAATGACAGGTACGTTGTCTGGAAAAACTTTTTATAGAAATGTTGTATAGACACAAGCAGTAAATGAGTTTAAGAAAGAAATAACTTTAACAACCAAAGCCGGAGTGATTTAGATGTCTAACAATGGATTAACCTATTTCTCTGGAATGACAGGCACGGTTGGCCAAAGAGACCGCCAGGTTTTATGTCGTGTCACTTCAACGAAACTTTTTTTATTTAAGAGTATTTGCTTTATAAAAATAGAATCTAGCATTTTTAAAATCCGAAAAAAGTGCTAAGAGTCATAAATGGGGCAAAAAGATAAATTGAGGGGCCTGATGCCCATTTGACCATTTTAGACGCTCATTACAAAAAATATATAAATTAATTAAGAATATGTGTCTTATAAAAATAGAATATAAAGTTTTTAAACTATAAAAGTCGGAATAAAGTCACAAAGGACACAAAAAAATAAGATTGAGGGGCCCTACACCCATTGAAGTATTTTAGACGCCCATTGAAAGAAAAATTTGTTAATTTATGATATTTGTCTTCTACAAATTGACACAAGTGTTTTAAAATCGAAACAAAGAACTAAGACTCACAAATAAAGCAAAAAGGTTAAATTGATGGGGTCACAAGTCCATTTAAACATTTTAGATTCCTGTTACAAATAAAGACTTTAAGCAATTTAAAAAAGTAAAACAAAAATATATATATATATATTTACAATATTAATTTATATTTGTTACACAATCCAAATACACATTAATTCATTTTCCTGCACTTTAGAAAGCAACATGTCAAAGTTAAAGATAAATTAAAGTCTTCTTTCATTGAAATTTATTACAGAGGATAACAGCTGTTCTCCATGTTGAGCATGGTCTTTTGCACGTTTATATCTATTCCAGGTAGGTTTAAATTTAGAATGAATAGCCTCTCCACACCGTTCAGCAGACTTAGCTAGACCACAGTTATGGTGTTCGACAAAGGGTTGAACATGACACAGCAAGATGTGAAACTTCCAGCTTAAAGAACAATTTTTCCCTAGAGCCTGTGCAAGCTCTTGGGTAGAAAGGAAAGAATTTTTAAAAACAGTAAATGCCATTTTATACTCTGTCAAAAGAATTTGACCAAAACAGGAATCTTTTACTATTTTAAAGTCTTTCAAACACTGAATTATAGGTCTCAGTTGAGGAACCTGAGATGCACTACTTTATCAAGTTCATCCAGGTTTTTCAGGATCTTGTTAGAATTATTTCCGTCCCAACCTCTACCTTGATACCCTCTCTGATGAACACTTTTAGTTTTCAGCCAGTCATCAAATTCAGGCCAAATATCCATAAGTAGACATCCTAAAGTAGATACAACTCCAATCAAAAGATGTAATTCAGGAGGTGGTACCAAATGCTGAATTAAAGTATCTGGACTCTTCTCTAGATAGAGAATCCTTGGATGTATCACATTCATATATTGTTGCATGTTAGATTTTTTAAATTTATTTTCGACACTTTATTTTTCATACCAATAATCAAGACTTCCAAGAGTTCTTAACTTTCCACATTCTCCATTTTTCAAACCTTCACACCACAGGCATGCTCTTTTTCCTGCATGACCTGATAGACCAAACACAGCATTAGCGCACTTTAAATCAAATGCTACAAAAAAATTGACATCTTGTAACTTGAGTTTTTCTAATGTAATTCTTAAGTTATGATTTGATTCAGGAACATCTTCAACAATAGCAAGAATTTGACAACGTTGAACACCACTATTCATGTACATTACAGAAGACTTTTTTTTTTCATTTACATCAAAAACATTGATTATAATTTTCAAAAAGGATCCTCCACTATCCATAGATATTCGTACAAATGCAGAACGAACGTCTAAACCATGTTGGTTAATCAAATCCATTGTGAAAGATGATGACTCTTGAACATACACAAGATCCTTTTCAACAATTCCCAATTCATTGTCAAGGAAATCTATCTGTAAAGATGTATAAATAGATAAGTGTCATTACTTCGTCACATTCATATAGTGTCATTATATTGTACATAAAAATTACTAAGAAAACTTAAAGTTTAATAAAAAACACAAAATATTTATGTAAATTATTCAAAATCTAATTCGAATATCATTCAACTTTAAATTAGCTTCACTATTTTACAAAAATATTGTACATATATTGATGGTTACACATTGTATAAGTACATTTTGTAATGAATAAACATGTTTATCCATAACAAATAATACTTATATAAATAATACACACTTGCTTGGCTAGGACATTTTTTTTAATGGCATTTTATATATTTATATGGCTTATGGAAGAGTTAAAGCAACTTTTTTTACAACCAAATGTCTTTCCTGGTGTTAGCCTGCTATGAAAATTAGGAATATATTTTACAACCATTATGAAGATTAGTATTCAAAGTAATAAGTTAAAAAAGCCTTGTCTGATCTAATATAAGATCAGTTTCTATCTTACTATAGAATAAGGATGTTTTATTCACAGTGAAGGATCTCTCTCTTTTTTGCATATCATTTTATATTAGAAAATCTAACATCATAAAAGAGCAATTTTTTGATCAATATATTACTAGATATCTATAAATAATATATAAATATGAATATATTTAAAATATAAATTACCTTTTCTACATGATAAAAATGTGATATGGATTCCGAAAGATCATTTAACTTGCCAAAAATGTTAGTTTCTACAACAGTCTTACTCCCTATTCCTTTCCGAAGAGTAGAAATTAATTGTTTGGTCTTTTTATTAGAAAGCTCTAATACGACTTGAAGTTCCTTTATAACTTGTAAGGATACTTGTTTTACTAATCTTCTATTTACCTTGTTAGAACATCCAACAGTTACATTCAACGGGTTTCCCCCAGTTGATAAAGAAAATGTTGTCCCTGTTGAAATGCAGTCTGCACTCATTTTATTTTGTATTATACCTGAAGCAACTTGTTCAGCTTGATTGCTCCCTAGACTTGTGGATAGAAAAATCAAGTTTTTTACAGCAGTTGATGAAGAACAGTTGTGGACATGTCCTGCTGATAAGATTGAGTAGCATTGTCCACAGAGCTTTGAATTATTGGCAGAAAAAGATATAACTGGTTCGGTTTCACTAATTGGGAGTTTTCCATTTGAATTTCTGGTCAACATTTTCCATTCAACCTTTAAAAGTGAAATACAAAATTATTTAAATATAAGTGCTTCATTACAATTTAGAATTTGCTATAAATAGTAATGGTATATCTTTTTTAATAATAAGGTTAAAAATAAAAACATTTTCATTTTTAACGTTTTTTTAATTATTATTAAAGCGTATTTTTTTAAGACTATCGATTGCTATATAGATGGTATCTATATCTAAAGAAATATTAATAATCTTAAAACTTTATAGCTTAAAAAAACTTGACAGAAATAATGAGTTTAAAATATAGTTTGACATTCTACCTTTGATACTTTCTCTCCCCATGAGCCTCTGGGTGTATTACCGGACTTGATCATGTAAAGATTCCTTCTACAACTGGAACAAACTACAGTTGGGTAACTGCTAATTTCCAGGGAATACCCGGGATATATAAACAGCTTCATCAAATTTTCTATTGTTGAATTTACAGGAGATAAAGACAATGACGATGCTCCAAAAAATTCCCAGCAGCAACAACATGTTGCATTTCGTTGAAAAGAAGCAGTTGACATGCTAACGCCAGCCATTTAAATTTATTGAAATCAATGTGAATTATATCCAAAAAAATGCAAACTTAATATAATACCATTAAGTTAAAATACTTAATCTTGAGAAAACTTTAATTTAAATTGCTATCTTAAAAAAAAGCTAATGCAAAATTCCTTTTATATAAAGTTACTAGATCAGCAAAAATTAGTTAACGCTTAACTAAAAACAATTTAAAAATCTTTTATAATTATGAAGCCTGGATTTGATTTTCTCATTAAAAAATTTACCTTAAAAAGTTGCTTGATTTATTATTATTAATTTATGTTGACATATAAATAGAAAATACAAAGCGGCTATTATTTTCATTATTTAAAAAAATATTTTAACTTTTAAATTCTTCTAATAAATTTGTAAGTCATTAATTTAAAATTGATGTTATAAAAACCAGGTATTTTAAATGTTGTAAGAAGTTCGGTTAAATTACATAAGTTGCAAAAAAGATATTCAAAAAGATGTCGAATTTCATCATTTGAATATATAATTTTTTTTGTTTCAAATGTAAAATAGAGAACTTTCCATTAAATTTCAAGCGTATGTTTCTATACAATTTTTAATCAGAATAAAATTCGTTATTATAATCATTTATAAAAATATGAGGCTAGAAACTTTTGCATTGCCCTTTTCTTGCCCTTTTTTGACCCTTTGCACCGTCTTCAGATTTTAAAAAACCCTTTTTTTATAAGTAAACTACTAATACTCTAAAATAAAAAAAAATTTGTATGAGTGACACGACATAAAACCTGGCGGTCTCTTTGGCCAACCGTGCAGGAAGAGTGTGACCATTTGATGTACCGAAGTAGTGTTTTTTGCAAATAATTCTGTCTTATTGTTAGGAATGATAATAAGATCAGACCCATGAATTAGAGAATTAGATTTATGACTTTTTGACTTACCTTTTTTAATGACACTGTTGAAGATTTTCCAAAAATGTAAACAAAGTTTAAACTGTGTTCAACTTTGTTATTCTTTTAAACTGTGTTTAACAAAGTTGACTGAATTAGCAGCATATAAAAATTCTACTTCCGCAAACATGTTGAGGTAATTTAATATTAATTATAACTTTTATAACATTACTTTATACTTTAGTTAGTTTGCACAACTGTTGCAGGTAGCTCCAGTATTCCGTAGCTACCTACGTCTGCTGTAGGATCCTGAAATATTTCCAGTATTTAGTGTTTTTGTCACTTTAGTTCTATAAGTCTGCACTAAGAAATGTAAAGATAAAATGTAATGTCTGTACAAAAACTTTTAACAGTGAATGTAAATATTTAAAATTCTGCATATTAAATGAATATGCATTAGTCTAAACAATGAAATTTTTTTTGCGACAAAAAACATTCATTGAAGATGAAGGTCTTCAGTGTTTTTGCAGCAACACAAAAGTAAACACACCAATTACCAGAAATCCCAGCCAAACAAGGAAAAATAAGTGAGATGTTTGCACTGGGTAAAAACTAATGTCACAGAAAAAGGTTGAAAAGCTCATGATCAAATTTGTTTGTCACAGTTTTCATTCATTTTCTTTTGTTGAACAACCAGAATTTAAAGATCTTTTAAAGGTACTGAACTCACATTGCAAAGTCAAATGCAAACCCTCTTTTCAGATCAGAATTTATGATGCTGTCATTCAGTAGAAAAAGACTTTGCTCTCACACCTTAGTATAGTCAAATATGCTGCCACAACCACTAATTGCTCATCTGCACACCAGCAAAGTTTTTATAGGAAAAACTATATAAACGTATAAACATATATATAAACATATAAACATATATATAACTATATAAACATATTAGATTAATAAAGAAAGTTTGGAGAGGAAATCTGTACTTGCTTGCCAGAGATTGAGAGAGTCACACACCTTGGATGTCTTAGCAGGCATTCTTGATGACATTCATTGTAAATACACAATAAGGGAGAAAGTGGTAAAAACCACAACAGACAATGACTCAAACTTTATAAAAGTATTTAGCATTTTTGGTGAGAAAAGCAAAACTCAAGAAGCAGAGCCTAAATCAGAACAAGATTCTTTCAAAGAATCCAAACCTGAGTACCTGGACACATTCCAGTAACTTCCAACCACTAATTAGTGTTAGAAGTTACTGGAAGAGAAAAGATGAAGATTGTAGAGCAAGATAACGATTGAAAGACAGCTTAAAAGATTGCAAATTATATGAATCAGGAAAGCAATGTGAAGGAAGCGAATTCCAAAGAATTGATGTTTGAGGAAAAAAACTAGACGAGTAAGAGTTTTTGGAGCACTTAGAAACAGTAACAGAAAAAGGATGAGACTTAATTGAATGACAAGTAACACGAGAATTAATTTTAGTAGATGGCACAAGAGACGCTAGCTCTTTAGAGCAGTGCCCATTATAGTATTTGTAGAAAAGAGAAAGAGAAGCAACATTACGACGGTGTGACATAGGTTAAAGGTTGGCTGCAAGAGCAGGTCCAACTATGTTTGCAATGCGTTTCTGCATCTTGTCTAAAAGAGAAAGGGCATCATTAGAAGATCCGCCCCAGATATGGCAACAGTATTCCATACAAGACCATATTTGAGATTTATATATTCTTGATTGAGAATAGAATCCAGAGTTAGAAAGTGTCGATAAAGAGATGCAACTTTAGCAGATGCTAATTTTGCAACGGATTTGATATAAGGTTTCTAAGAAAGATCAGAAGTAAGAGTTAATCCTAGAAGATGAAGGGTAAATGACTCATCATTCATAAATATAGGAAGGTCTAAATTATCGCAATAACAATTGGCTGAAAAAAATTGAGTTTTGTCTGAACTAAAGTTCACCAGCCACTGTGAGCCCCATGCTGTAGCAGAAGTGAGATCCTTTTCAAGCTCAGATGCCCCCTACAAGCAATCAGAGGGAGTTGGCTTCTTATCGTGACAAGAATAAATAGTAGTATCATCAGCGAACAATGCCACCTTAGATGTGAGAATATCTGGAAGATCGTTAATGTAAATTAAAAAGAGTATAGGGCCAAGGATCGAACCTTGAGGAACCCCTGAGGTTACAGAATAAGATGAAGAGTGCTGTCCATCTAGGACAACTTTTATACTACGATTGGAAAGGAAGGATTCAATAATTCTAAAGATGTTTCCAGATACACAGTAAGAAGAAAGCTTATGGAGAAGACCAGCATACCACACTTTATTAAACGCTTTAGAAATGTCAAGAGCGATGGCCTTAACCTCTCCACCTTTATCTAATGCGCGATAAAACCTATCGGTTATTACTGATAGCAAATCAGCTGTAGAACGAGAAGATCAAAATCCATATTGATGATCAGAAAGTAGGTTATAAGATTCGAGATGAGAGATTAAGTGTTTGTTAAATAAAGATTCAAAAACCTTGCTTATAATAGGAAGAAGACTAATGGGACGGTATTTAGACGAATCAGATTGCTCTCCAGAATTTTTAAAAATAGGGATAACAGATGCTGCTTTCCGGCAGGCTGGAAAACAAGACTCCGATAAGCACTTGTTAAATAGTTTTGAAACTTCTGCATGACTATAACAGATATGTTGTCAGGGCTGCAAGCTGTAGAAGAGTCTAGGCAGGAAATCACTTTAGATACAGAAGCTGGAGTGATACGGATGTCGAACAATGGATCAACCTGTTTGACGGCTATATATTAGGTAGAACGCAACTAGTGGAATCAAGAGATGATATTGATGAAAAGTTTTTGGCAAACAATTCAGCTTTATCTTTAGGTGAGGTAACAAATTCTGAACCATACAAATTATTGATACTATTAAAGATTCTTCAGAAGTCACGATAGTCTAATTTTTGTGATGAAATATGAGATTTCATGGTCTGAGAATAGTGGGCTTTGGCATTAGACAAAACCTTTTTACAATGGTTCCTAGCAGTAATAAACAGACGTCTGTTTTCTGGAGAAATGTTTTGCTGATAGATATGGAAGTAATGGTTTTGATTGGCAATTGCAGCAGCACAATGTGAGGAAAACCATGGAGAAGAGTGAGGCTTGGAATTGTTGAGAGGGAATAAAGGATTCCATGCCAGCATGAATCCACGAAATTATGTAAGAAGCACATTTGTCAACAGGAAGACGAAAGATTTCTACCCAGGGGCCATCACAAAGAAAATCACGGAAAGAGTCCCAGTCAGCTTTAAGGTAGTTGTAAGATGTACGATGATAGGGGGATTCTGATGGTAAAGAAGAGTGAGATAATAGTTTTAGAGAGACCAAACCATCATCAGAAGCACCTAAGGGTGAGTGTGGAGAAACTGAGCACTGACTAGGATCAGAAACAAGACATAAGTCGAGTAGAGAAGGTAATTGATTCAGGTTGTCTGGAAAGCGAGTTGGAAAGTTGACTATTTGAGTTAGGGATTGAGAAAGGCAAAAGTTGTGGGCCTTAATGCCTGCAGAGTCACTGACACTAGAGCCAAGCCATTCAGTGTGATGAACATTAAAGTCACCGACAACAACAATATTGGCTGATGGATAAAGAATGAGGGTTCGGTCAATATAATCAGAAATAACATCAAAAAGAGTGCAGTCTTGAGATAAAGGAGAGCGATATAGAACAAAGAGAAGGGTGATAGAGTGAAGTGGTGCTAAACGAAAGCACATAAAAGAATTCACAATGGGTGAATTCTTACAAATATAAATGCCCAGGCCAAGCATGTGACTATTGGAGTCTTTACGAATTAAAGGAAGATAACCATCAACACTTAGATCACAAGATGGGACAGAAGAACTCAAATTAGCCTCACAAAGAGCAAGTAGGTCTGGTGAACTTTGCAAGAGATAAGACTCAACAGAAGAAAAGTTACTTCGAAGACCACGAATATTGGTGAATGATAGGTTTAGCGAACTTGGTGGTGACTGTGGTTTTTTGTGTTTTATAGTTTTTGTTACTTTATTCATTTTTATATTTGTTAAAGAACTTGACTCGAAACATAGATAGTACTCAGTACACCGTTTTATAGCCCAAGCAATTGCTTCATTTCCACTAATAAACTCTAAGCCGTAACAAAGGGCTCCAATGTGACCTTGGCAATGCACACCAAAAGTACAAACAGGGACACCATCCATGCGCAATGTGGCACTGTTGGTACTCTGATAGAACCATAAAACTGAGTTTTAGAGCTGTACCCTCATTTGGAGATAATAGAATGAGTTGCCTAATCATAAAAATAGAGATACAAGCAAAACCCATGCATCAAGTCAAGAAGATCCAGCGTTCAACATCCTAAACTGGAAACAATGTATTAAAAATACATCTGCGCCAGCCTAATATATGAAGAAGGGGTGCTAGGCTGGTCAACAGATAAAATCTGTTTACCCCTTGAGTCTTTGCCTAGGAGGACTTCTACAAGACAGCAGCCGGATGCATTAAACATCTGCCCATATTGTTTTTTGCCTATAGCATTTTTATCGAGACACCATCTATAGCCTTGACTCAACCAAGAGCCCCAAGGCAAGGGGTGTTTTATGTCAGAGTTTGCATTTCCTAGCCTTTGCCTAAAAAGACATATCCTACAAGGCAGCAGGACATGAAGCAGATTGTACTGGGTTACATGTTACCAGTAGCAGGATAAACCTGACCTAACCATAACCATATAACAGGATAAATCTGAACTGACTTGACCATATTCATAAAGAATTCTAAACATAAAGAATTATTAACATAAAGAATTATAAAGAATAAAAACTATATATGTAAAGAATTATAAAGACTAAGAATTACAAATATGAAGAATTGTAAAGATAAAGAATTATAAACAAAGAGTTATAAAAATTAAGAATAATAAACATAACATAGTTGTGATTTAAATTTAGAAAATTTTCATTTCTAAATAAATTTTTTATAAAATATTCATGTTGTAAATTTTATGATATTACCTTAGAGCGTCTGTTTCTCAAGAACTGCAACAAATCTCCATTCTCCATAAACTCAACAAGTAAACATAATGGCTTCTTAATTGTTGAACAGCCAATCATATTAACAATATTTTTATGATACCCAATTCCTTTCATAAGATCTATTTCTTCTCTAAAATCAGAGTATTCCGAATGACTGGCACCATCTGTATTTAAAAAGCAATAAATGATTAAAATAATCAAATAACTTATAAAAGTTAAAATATTTATATGGTATAATAGTATATTTAATATAGTAACTACACAATGCAAAATACATAGTTGCAACCAAAAAATAAAAATGTAGTTAAAACAAAATTTTTTGCAATATTAACACCCCCCCTCCCCCTAATCCTCAAAAAAAAACAAAAAAAAACTATAAACTGATCTATATAAAAGAAAAAAAAAAGATTTTTTTTTTTTTAAATAGTTATTACAACCTTATTACTCAGAAACACAAACTAGTCAAACAACTTGTCAAACAAGATTACTACACAGAGAAACATTTGTGAAACACATGAGTGCAGAGAAAATGTACACATGAGTACGATACTTTGTACACACAAGAACATGTACACATGAGTACAATACCTCCATGTGGCTGGTTTCAAATCCATAGCACTCACTTACAAAGAGAGAACTCTACAACTACATTGCAATCAAATGGCATTAATTGATTCAAATTAATTGCAAAGTAGTTGAAAAATAAGTTGCACAAACATTTTTTTGCTTATGCGACACAATGATTGCAAAAAGTGACCAACGGAGTCGTTCAATAAAAGTGAATATACACAGTACAAACTACATGTTGCTGAATAATAAAAATATAGTTAAAACACAAGTGACTGTTCTTTGCAATATTTACCTCCCTGAAAGCCTAAACAGCAACTATAAACTGAGATGCTGTATTTTTTTTTTAAAAAAAAAACATTTTTCTAAAATGGTTATTACAACCCTATAACTTAAAAACACAAACTCGTCAATTAACTTGTCAAACAACACAAAGAAACATTTTGACTTCAAAGTTATGGGTTTCAACTCCATAGCACACACCAAGAGAACACTACTAATACTACACTGCAGTCAAACGACATTAATTGATTCAAATTAATTGCAAAGTAGTTATAAAACACAAAACATTTGCAACATAATACCTTTTAAAAGCTTTACGGCTACATTAGTAGCACGAAAAGCAGATTTGGATTGTCGACTTGCATATTTCGTCTTAGCAAAAACATCTGCGTTGAGTTTTGCAATATAAACAGTTCCAAATGCACCTTCACCAATTTTCTTATCTAAAACAATGCTATTAGGAAATATCTCCCATTCATCTGCTTGAAAATCAAAGCCTATGTAGTCTCTAAAACAAAACACATTGTTTTTTTTTAAATAATTTAAAATAATATTTTAAAATTACCATATATTTATTGAAATAATAAGATAAAAAAGAGAATTTAGAACAATTCTTAAAAAAAATTCTTGGAACTATTTTTTAGTTTAAAAATACAAAAAAAAAAAAAAAATTCTGCTCTACTTATTTGCAAACTTAAAAATCTCTCATTTTATACAATGTATAAAAAAAAAAAAGTTTTGGTTTCACTTTTGATTTATTATTGTAAATAGATTATCATTATTAATAGAAAAGGTTTACAAAGAATGCATTTTACCTCTACACCACTAATCAAGGTCTACACTACAAAAGTGTAGTAAACAACAACTTTTTCTATCATACTTGTCCTAATCTTTTGAATTATTTATTATCTCTACTTTATTTTTTCTTAGCCACTTATCGTTAGCATCATTAAAAGAATAAAATGTTTTATTCTTTTAATTAAGCTATTTCTTAGAAAGCTGCATAAAAAAGTTATTGTTGGCTATTTGCATACGATCAATCTCAAAATATAAGTGAAAGGTACATTTGCATATGATCAATCTCAAAATATTAGTGAAAGATACATTAGGAATCGTTCCTGAATTACTCAACACAAAATTTATTTTAAAGAAAGATGTAGTAGATTATAAGTTCTTTTTTCTGGCAACTTTTATCAAACCTAATTAACTATTTAGATTTTTTATTTAACTTAAAGCTCTTCGAGGGAAAACTTTTGATTTTTTTTGTTTTGTTTATTAGAATTGCATAACTTATGGACAATCCTTAAAATTTGAAAATGAAATTTTTAAATATCTAGTTTTGTTATTTGAACTTTTACTTGAATATATATATATATATATATATATATATATATATATATATATATATATATATATATATATATATATATATATATATATACATACAGGGGTCAAAATAAGTGTCAAACATAATCCCCCACAAACCATTCTAGAGACCTGCTAGAGGAGGGCAACAAACCTTTGTTCATTTTTTCAATAAAAAAAGAACAATGGTTGGTTGCCCCCATAAATCAGGTCTCAAAAGCAGTCCAGAGTGCTATATATATATATATATATATATATATATATATATATATATATATATATATATATATATATATATATATATATATATATATATATATATATATATATATATATATATATATATATACATATATATATATATATATATATATATATATATATATATATATATATATATATATATATATATATATATATATATATATATATATATATATATATATATATATATATATATATGTATATATATATATATATATATATATATATATATATATATATATATGTATATACAGTATATATATTAATAAACATATATATATACAGTATATATATATACAATATATACAATATATATATATATATATATATATATATATATATATATATATATATATATATATATATATATATATATATATATATATATATATATATATATATATATATATATATATATATATATATATATATATATATATATATATATATATATATATAGGCTTGGTCGGGAAGCGGGTGCGATCGCACTCAATAACTGACCACGGAAGTAATATTTAGTTGCGAAAAACCGGCCAGATTTTTTAGTCGTTTTAAGAACATTTAAGTTTATGTATGTTTCCTTGTTTGTCCGCAAAATAATAAGTTCATTTTGTCGTTAATATTAAAATATTTTGTTTTACGGACTTACATGGAAACGTACATAAACTTGAATGTTCTTAAACATCTTAGTGCGGAAAAATAAAAAAAGAATATTCGCAAACACAAAAAACCCGCCAAATTTACGAACAACTAATTCTATTGGTTCAAAAAATACTAACTGAAATTTCTAGAGTATTCAAAAAAAACTAACTGAATGTCCTGAGTATTCTGTTGATATATTTTTAAAAACTGTATTAATTGAATTTTGTTACATTTTTGTTGAGATTTCTAGCATAAATTATTTTAAGAGTATACTATCAAACAAACTATTTATTTAATTATTGGAGCCACATCTACAAAGCTATAAATGTTTTAAACTAACATTTGTTTACAATAATAAATGTTTTAAATTTATATTTTTTAACTTGTCAATGTTTTGTAAATATATTTCAGATTTTATTAGTATATTCTTATTTTTTATATATAAGGGATGTATTTTTTATGTATGTAATGTATTTTTATGTATGTAATGTATTTTTATCTTTGTAATTTTATCTATGTGTATTTTATTCAAATGTAATCTTTTAAAGCAATTTGTGCGATTGATTTTGTAAACAAAAATACTTTCAATAATAACTGTGTTTTCAATGAAATTATTAATAATCGTCAAAGTTAATACAAATAATTTTAACCACTAATCCATTTTCTTCAGTTTACCCGATAACTGATTCTTTCCCTCAAGAAAGAAAAGTTTTTAAGTTCTTAGAAATTGATTTACTAACTTCAATTATTTTT